CACTATCAACTCTGAGGTATCCCCAGCCATTGTGACATGCATATTTTGAAATGCCTGAGAAACTCATCAAAAGACAAATTCAGGATGAAAGCGTTTGTCTTCAATTCCTGGGTATCTTCTATAAACCACATTTCACAAAATTTGATCTTTTCTTGGCTGTGTGGTCTTTCATCTGCCTTTGGCTCAGGTCTCCTGAGAAAAACAGTTCTAGTGCTTCCTTGGCTTCCAGCAAGGTAGTGAGAATAAAAAGATAATGAAGTATTCAGATGACTGGTGGGGAACCAAAAAGATATTTTAAATGCCTAAAGTAGGATTAATCACAAACAACAGCAATAAAAGTCTGATTAACTGCAAAGCCAGATTTCAAACTGCAAAGCCAGATTTCAAGCTGAAAGCCAGTCTAAGCACCCATAAGGAGTGATCAGCAGTCATTTGTAAAACAAAGGTCCTACATCACTAATCTACATTTTCTTTTACCATGAATAATGACATATTGAAACAGAAAACCTGAAAGATGTTGAAATATTCTCATGAAGATGCATACACAAGCCCAACCTCCAGACCCATGCCATGGAGCAAGGGCACTGAGCTATGTTCTGGATTTCAATAAAACATCCTGAAAACATGCACTATTGTTGATGTCTGCAAGCAAAGAGAACAGAGTGATAGGATATGTAAATATAGGAATTATAAAAGTGAGAAGACGGTGGTAATCAGTCTGCCTCTTAAGGTCAGGCTTCACTGAAGTGCAGTTAGAATGCCAAGCCTTCAGTTACAAAAAATCAAACTGAGAAAGTGAACTAAGTACAGCTGCTCTAGGGTTAGGAGCATGAGGAGCAAGAGTCTTCTTGGAAAGCATCTCAAGATTTCAATCCATTTGGTTTAGGAAAGGAAACTTGGAAGATCAAACAGATGCTGGATAATTTACTCCAAGTTTGCTGGATAATTTACTCCAGGTTTGATGGATACAAACCTGTATCTGCCACTTGCAAACAGAAGGATGCAGTGAAATGGATGAAATGCACAACAACTTGGGTAATGTCACAAAAGGGATATTCTTGAGTTTTGTTTGGAGAGCCTCTACTGCCTACAGTGGACTGGCACACTTGTGATAGTGGATTGGGCTGAGAAATTAAGATGCTTCAGTTATGGTTTGCAACATTTCTGAAGGCATCTGGTTAAAAAAGTGGTGTGAGTACACTGGAACTATCTGTAGTTCCCAACACTCAAAAATACTTTTAACCATATGTACCCTATGACATCTAACATACATGTTTTGCAATATGTTTCACTGGCATACAGAATATATGAAAAGCCTGGCTGGGAGCAACTTATGGTTCATTCATTGCTCACTTATAGAAAAGAGCAGAAGTACCTAATTTGCACCACAAACCCTCATGTCCTGGGAAGGAAAACGTGCTGATAAAAAGGAAAGAAAATTGTATGCAGAAATGGGACCAGCCATTTGGCCTGTATCACACTCATAAGCCACAGGGAAAAGCAACTCCAGCTCAGAGAAGGAGCTGGTTGCCTATACTGTGCTAGGTGACATTTTCTTCTCCCAGGCTTCTGGCACTGAAAGATATTCCTATATTTACAACCTTTCTTAAGGTCATCTCTGCTGTGCCTCCAGCTGAGCCATTAAATATTAATTGAACCTGCTTACCAAAAATAAAAAGCAAAACCTCTAATTTACTTGTGTAATTAACACCTCCCACAAACCAGGTGTCCTCCTGAACCAGACTGAACAAGCAGTTGCTCTTCATAATCCTGAAGTATGCTATGTGCTTTTGAGACACACACAGAGTTACTGGTTCATTCTGCATGCATAAGCACATGTAATTATTTGTGGGGAAAAAAAGCCATAAATACAACAGAAAATATGCATTCCAGGTGATGTCGTCAAACCTTCCCACTCACACAAGGCAGTTCTCTTCTTGGGTTCTTTTTCTCTTCTTTTTAAGCACTATGCCTAGATGAGTTTGAACATCTTGTCACTGGTCATTTTATTCACCAAGATTCAATACTGCTAAATTTCTCAAAGAGCTCAAATTTTAACCCATAGTTGTAAAAATCACAATCCCTCTCTGTTTGCACAAGAGCACAGGCATTAAGTAACTTTGGTTCCCATATGCTTAACCATGGAATACTACTGACATTACAATTAGCTCTGAAATTGAAGTACCAGCATTACTCATGTGAAGACAAGGTAAATATGTATTCAGTAATCACTCAGCTGCATAGATTATTTGCACAAGTTTATTAGGTGCTGATTTACTCAGATGAATAACATGCCTGCTCTTCAGCAGGGCTAAAGAATTTGTGAAGTGAAACTTCACAGAACACAAGGTTCTCATTGCTTAGCTGCCATCTACGCTCAGGGACACATAAGTTTCCAGTATTGCACAACCCAAGAAAGCTAGTTTTGGTTTTGCACTTGGACTGAAGCACATCCATCTTGTCAGAATTTAGCAGGTTGGGATACAGCTCTTATCTAAACCTTTTGGGAATATCTAGTCTAAGTGCTGCTTCACCTTTATTGCCTCAGAAACTCAGTCTGTCAGTCTCGGAGTTTATCTGCAATACAGGTGCTAGGAAACAAAAAAGGGTTTATTTCCTTTGAAGAGGTGCCACTCTTTGTGATAAAAACAATCATCAGAGCACTCACTTAGGAAATAGGGCACACAGACTCACTTCTTTCCTCTGAAAAAGCAGATTCAAAACTCCATCCTGGATCTCACCAAAAAGTATCCAAGTCATCAGGTTTGGAAATACTTTGGTAGAGGTGTGTTAAAGAAAAAGAGTTGAATACCCCCTCAATTGCATGGACTAATTAAAGGTTTGTTGTGTTGCAGAGCTTATAATACTGCAGTTAGGAGAAGGATGTCACCCAGGTATAGTGCAGCTCTCAGTTCCAGTCTACTGCCAAACACTGGTTTGGAGAAGGGAAGAAAAATGATGCTTCTCTCACACACTGTTTTAACAACTCACAATCATTTTCCCTAAGCAGTCACAGGTGGTTGACAGCTCCTACTCCTAAAGTGGTGGTATCAGGTAGTACTGATGATCCCCATGGAATTTCCAACTCCACAACTCACCTGCCAGGTATTTGCCAGTCTCTTGTCTCCCAGCAAAAGCCATTCCAGGCAATTGGGCAGGAAATCCAGATAAAGTGTCCTGGAGCACTACCTCTGTGTTGTCAAGAGTCCATGTCAACAGCAAGATGCCATTTTGGATATCACACTTCAGCTTTGTTGGAAACCTTCTGATCCAAACCAAACTCTACAGACAGGATTGCATATCCAATGTTTTTTTTATCTAAAAAAGTCAGTAAGAGGGAATCCACAACTTCGTCACCTCTGGTGAATGCTCCCATCATGTACGATTATGTTCTCCCTGCCAGTATAGCACTAAATCATTTGATCCTTTTTGCAGCATCCCCAGAAATGGGGGCAAAGTGTGCTTTCCCCCTAACTCCTCCTATCCCTGAAAAACCCAGAGCATGGTGAATGAAGCAGCAAGCTAACAAGTTTTGCCTACATCAGAAACCTGGGGGAATGAAACAGACTTCTCACTAAATGCTTCCTGCTTGGTTAGAAAAGTAGAGCAAACCCTTCTCTGGTGGGAGTGAGAAAATGAGAGAAAGAGAAGTTTACCTGCAGAACAGAGCAGAGGAAGATGTCTTTTGGTAGGCTAAGCAAGGCGGTTAATTGCAAATTGATACAGATACGACTACAGCTCTCCTTGCCCTTCCTTAGCTTCTGGTCTACAGCATACTGCAGATCTTAGCTTCCTAATTCTCTATGAAATCAAATCTAAAGGACGTTCTGCCACACCCAGCATAGGCTTTAAATATTTTATTTTATTTTGGTGTTTTGTTCCCATCTAGACCTGAGAAATGTTCAATGGTTTGTGAGGTTGAGCAGTATTGTAAAGTGTGTGCACGAAAACCATTTTAACTGGCATGAATAAAATTTGTTAATTAATAGCATATGTAGCAGTTTAACTATGTTCTATACATTTATATTATGTTTTATACCTTTAAAATGTGGCTTATAGTTTAATAGCTATAAAGTTGGGGTTTTTTCCTTTACTATTTTCTGGATTCTAGAATAGAAAAAATCAAAGTAAAGCTTTATTTCATTTGTATATTTTGGAGGTGACAATTTTATACACTTAGCTATGTGTAACATATTCTTTTTGTACAGTTAGCACCATTTGTTTAGGCAACCAAAGGTAAGCTAACAATTGTAGGTATCATTAAACTCATTCACAGATAAATGCTCTAGTCTATCAAAACCTTTTGGCACAAAAATGACTATAAAATGACTGCAAATTTAGCATCCACCCCCCCCAGACATATGCGGGTTTTGTATTGCAGCTGAAATGAAAGACTGAAGCACTGGGGTTTTGTAGCAGAAGGCATGTGGAGGCAGACAGGAAGACAGTAAAACTGGAAAGATTCCATAGACGACTTTTTTTTTTTTTTTTCTGAAATACTGTATTTACACAAAATTGGAGAGAGTACAAATACTGTTACTAAGAAGACAAAACCATACTAGTACATTCAATTTAAACACAGGCAGAACTATAGATGCAAAACACAGAGGCCTAAGGTACTTGCAAGGGGGAGAAAAAAGCGTTAGAAGGGCCTCAGAGATTAAAAGCAGGAGGTAAAAGAACAAAGTATTTGTCACACAGCATCACCTTTCCTTGACTTCACTGGGCTTGCAATAAGATGCTCTCCTTCCTCATTGTGGGTGGCGAGGAAAACCCTCCTCATGTGCAGACTGCTCAACACTGATTTTAAAACACAGTTAAGTGTGTGCTTAATTTTTAGCATGGGAATAGAGCTGTTAACTTCAAATGAAAATAGGTTTGTGCCTAATCACATACTTATATGCTTAGTTTGACCAGGAATAGACTTCTCAGTGCTTCAAAAGGTCAAGTCCATTGTTACATAAAAAATAAGTGTTCTTTACCATCTTTTTTTTTTTCCCTTAAAATAGATTTTAGAATTTCTTTAATTTTACCCTTATGTAATCAATTAGAAAATAATAGCTTACTGAATGCCATACAATATTTTGGTTCGTGTCATATAATCAAAGGAATATAGTTAAAAAATAATTCCCACATTTTTCCAAAGCCTGTTTAGTTTTCAAAAGAAATAAAAGAGAAAAATACATGTAATAATAAAGCAGCTTTATATTTCTGGGCATTTGGCAGCAGGTCTGTTATAATATTTCTCAGACATCTCTTGGTATCAGTTAAAATCACCAGATTAATTGATCATTACAAAAGAAAAGATTGTACAATATTATTACAGTCCACCAAATATAGCCAATGCATGAAATATTTTACATATTATGCATCCCTTAAAAAGAATTAACATATTTTAGCCTGTTCTTTGAAAACACATAGCTTCTGAAGCAATATATTTTAAACACAGTGGTATCTGTCACTTCTACTGTCTAAGTGCTTTTTTTTTCTGAATAAAAGCTTGTTTGAATAGGACTACTAGCTCAGTGATGGAACTACAGTGCTATTTAACTAAATTCCTTATACATCTTTGTTGCTGTTATTGTAATCACATACCACTGAAGTGCTAAATATTAGTAACTCAGATATGTGGACTTTGGTTATGCTTGATAGAATACCAGCATATCAAATATATGTACCACTTCCTAAAGGCTATGTTACAATCATGATGCTTAGTAATAAATAATAGTAACAACAATCTCAGATTCAAAGTGCTGACTCACTTCAGGCACCAATACAATAAATCAATCAATTAAAAGACTTGTTCAAAGCTAACAGAGCAGATCCTGGGCTGCTGAGTTACACGCACAACAAGTCAGACTCTGAACCTCTCCTTCCACCCTGGGGATTCCTGTGGTCCCAGAAGACACTGGAATGTCACGTCTCATGTGGAGTGCTCCAAAACATACCAAGTCTTCAGACATGAAACATTAAAAGCTCTCTAAGCTTCTCTAAAGCCTCCAAAGGCTCTCTTTAAACCCCTCAAGCCTACTCCATTCATGCAGGGACATGACTTTGCCAGATATTGTACTTGGCTTCAGACCAGGGCAGAGCCTCTCATGAAAGTCCACAATTAAATGCATTGCATTAATGCAGCTTTCATACCCTGGAGATTCTGTCACCACTGTTGGCTTGAGAGGGGAAAGGCAGCTTTCCAGCAGCAGCAAACACCTGTCTCACTTGAGGGTGAATGCTTTTCATGTTGTTAGTTTGTTCTGTGCAAGCAGTAATCATTTTCGGTGTCGAGAGAGCTGTTGTACCCTGAGGACGGATACAGGTCCCTCTTAAGTATCCTATTGACGATGTTGATCAGAACTTTTTTGTACTGTTGACGTAAAAGTGAGTAAACAAATGGATCTGATGCAGCCTTACTGTAGGTGAGGCACTTGCTTATAATTCCCCAGTAGTAATTTATGGTAACAAAAGGAAGGAGCTCTATCAACCTGTTAAACATTAAAGAGAGATGGAAACACTTGAGTGTTATATTCACACTGAGACCAGTGCTGAACTCATGCCTCATGAAACATTAAGGTAGCACTTATTTTCTTGCAGTACACAGTCCCTGAAGAAGAAGGGCCCTGTACTTACTCCTTGTATTCAGTAAAGTCAAAGGGAACTTTTCTAGCAAGGCCACTTTTCTATGGAAAGAGAAAAAGCATGTTTTCAATGTTAATGCTCCTATGCATTGGAGATAAGAAAGTGCTGCAGTTTATTGCTCACTTTCTGAATTTTGAGAGTTGTGCTGACAAATGGTGAAAATCTCAGTGACATAATTAATTAATTAAATAATTAAGTGACTTTCCCATGGCAAGCCTGAGATAGGCAAATATGACTTGTGGCATTTAGGCTCACTCAGCTCAGTTGCCTAAGTATAGCTGTCTGTTGACACTTAAGACATTTGGGCATAACACCCTTGGCATCAGGCTGCTACTCCTGGAAGTTGTGGGTCTCCTCTAGGTCCTGTGTCATATCTGTCAACCTACATAGAGGTTTTGGATACTATGCAACATCCCAAATGACACCAGGAACCTGGTCTAGGTCATAGAATCCACCCCCTCAGGTACAGAACAGTGAATCTGCATTACACCACTGCTGTGAATTATCACATATGCAAAGAGAATTCCTGGTAGACCCCTGTATTATGAGGAACATGGCACCTGCAATCCCATAGCATGTGTAGGAGCACAACTGCATATACTTACCTATGAAAGTTTCTGTGTGCACTTGGCTGACCACTAGTTTGGCCAAAGAAAACAAGGAGACAACAGTTTTATCATCATTATATGAACAGCCAGATGTCTCCAGACCTGTGTCTCCTACTCTGGGCTTCACGGTTGATTTAGTGGATTCAGCACCTTGGTTGAGATGGGTGTATTAATCAAGGGGGAAGAAACTGCAACTAAGTTAAACAATTTTTACACAGAAGTGAGAGCAAACCTTCAGACTGTTTCAGCAAACATCTGGCACACAGCTTATCTGCAGCAGGCAAACTCTCCAAGAGGGTGGAAAGAACAGGGTGAGAAGTTTTTATTATCCATACATCTTTGGTGATGTACAGGAAGCCTTTTGCAGGAGCAGGAATATATTGTTGTGCTATATTCATTCCAGAAGTAAAAAAGTACCATGAGATAAAATAGCCCTTTTCTGTAGCCTAAAAACATCACTGTTTGAAGATGTTAGATCAGAAGCTTTCTCAAGGCTTGAAGAACCTTCTGGCCTCTTTCCAAAGTGCAGAGCTTCCAGTGTGCAGGGTGTTGACTTTTGAAGCTGTTCCAATCCTTCTGCATGGAAAAACTGACCTACCACCTCTAGGACTGAACACTGCAACAAGGGGTTGAACTCTGACAGAAAAAAAATCTCATTTTTATGTGTAAAAGTGAAATCATTCTTATGGCAAGTTCATTTAAAACCTGATGACTTTTGTTTAAAGCTGCTTGGAAAAAATTCCAGTCAATTCAAAACAGAGATAAGAAGAAGACACAAAATGTGAGAAATAAATAATTGTATAATAAGTGACACTTGGTTGCTTAAGTTTTTCCCATCCTGCATATTGTTCCAATACAAGAAATACACATTTGATATTTACACAATTGATGTTTTTATAAAGACACTAAACAAGAAGAGTAAGGTATCTCTCAGTCATGGAACTAGATGTATTACTATTGTTCCCTTTAATGTATTATGGGCCCAAACATAATTGCACTGAAGCCAAGAGAAGAAGAATTACACAGATTTTAATAAGATAAAGGGCCCGGCCAAATCAAGTCAGCCTGAGAAATATCCATCTGAATACATCTCAGTATCATTTTCTTGTTTTCAGTGCCATTACAAAAAAAGATGAAATTCATCTCTCAGCTTTTAGTGAACAGATGAATATATTGCTAATGATCCTAATCTCATTCACATATCTGAAATGAGGACCAAATACTGAGCACAAAACGTAACCTGAGTCACGGGGCCAAAGAGCAAGAAAACAGGGAGCGTGTTTTTCACATTGTCTCCATTGACATTGCTTCAGTGCCACCCCCCTGGAAACCAGGAGTGGGGAAGGAAGGTGAAACAAGCATGGCAGGAAGTCCTCCAGCCTCACCTCCACCACCTTTTATCTACTGCTGCCTGGAAACTGTCTTGCCACTGGGGCAAAAAGCCTTTGAGGATGTCCTCCCCAGACCCTTGCACATTTTGCTGTCGCTGACCAACTTGGTCCTTGTGGCTGAGATAGGAGCTGTGCCTTGACACACACATTTACGCAAACCAAGCCTCAGCCTTCTCTCTAGTGACACGTAAGGAACCAGTTTTTCACACATAGAAAATGCACCATCTCACATTTGCCAAATGAAAGGTCTGAAGAAGGAAGCCTCTTTTATTTTAGAAGTTTATGAAAAGTATCTTCACCCTGAAAAATGTGGCAGTGCTGGAATTTGCTGAGCTTGGTAATGTTCAGATGGAAAGAAGATGGTAAAATCCATTTTGCTCAATATAATTATACCCTGATTATGACAAAAGTGAACAGAATATGACTCAGAATGTACTGAACAGTGATCAATTAACCTTTTTACTCTGTGATGTAATGTTAATATTTGTAATAATCCTTTCAACTGCAGAAAAAAAGAAACAAAGCAGTCATCTAGGCAATCAGTCAAGAACCCCTTCAATCTATAAATGGGAACTGAAATACATGTCATCCTAAAGGTTAAAAACTGTAGCCATTTTTGAGCACAGGTTTAAATCTGTGGAAGAAAAGGGCAAAGGCAAAAATCATAAATGGCATGTGTTTATGCAGCTGTGTAGAATCAGCCCACTAAAGCTGGCTTATTTCTATAAGCTGGGGTGGCTGCAGACTCTGGCAGCTTGGTAGCACCCAAGGGGTTGGTTTGTGGACTAGTGCACCTTCCTCAACAGAAGGGAGTATTTGAAGGTATCTTGGACACACTGTTAAGTGGGAAATAGTTTCAAAAATCACTTGTGAAAGAAGATGTAGCCCATTTTAGTCCAGAGATGAAAGGCTAAACCCTGAGGTGCTGCAATTAAGTGTAGTTACATTAGCTTCCAGCTCACTGGTGTATGCAAGTTATGAAAATAATAGCCATATGTTCTATAAAGACTATACAAGTATGGAACAAGAACAGTGCATGACTACTTAAAAAGGTGCAGACTACTAGGGTGGACATCAGTAACTCTGGCCAGTTGAGGCACATGGTGTTTCCTATACATTTTAAAAATCTAATGATTCATTTCCCTGGGAGATAACTCTTACACCTCATCACAAGGCCATGCTGCATCATTGGCAATGCATTTACAGACATTAATGTTTCCAGACACAAAGTTTATCTGACAAGTTATCAGCCTGGATAAATGTAAATTATGTCATCTCAGCTGCCAATAACAGCAAGCTTGGCCTTATGCCTTGAAAGAGCAAAAAAGACCTGAGCTAATCAGGAAAACTGTCTGCTTTCCTCTCTATTGCTCAGGTTGCGCTAATAAGGAAGGGTGGTAAGTCTTTTCAACTGCCTTCATTTCCCACTGGCATGTAATTAATTCCTGGTACTTGTCCTAAAAGCCTCTTGCTCTTGGCAGAGGTGCCCAGACCTGGCTGCAATAGGGAAAGGAAAGCCAGAGGCTGGGTGTTCAGGCAGAGTCAGTGTGTGTAAGCTTGTGTGAGTGTATGAGTGTGCTCTGCCACTCAGACCCAGCCTCGGTTCTCCACTAGGTTCTGGTACCCCAAAATTAGCTGTAGCCTCCCTCCTTCCCCAGAGTACCTGCACATCAAAGGGCATATTAATCCCCCACCCCAACAGGCGATACTGACCTGGTGATAATGTAAGGACCAAAACAGATCACAAACGACCCTATAAAAATACTGATTTTCTTGGTAGCCCGCTGCCTCCTCCGTTTCTGCTCATTAAGACAGCGCTGCTTCACACTGTGAAGGGAAAAGAGCAGTTGGTGGGTTAAGGCAAGAAGCGGGTAGGCGAGAGAGGAGCCCAGGGGAGAGGGGAAGGACCCGCTCCCGGACCGAGAGCATGTGCACCCGGAGAGGGAAAGGCAGAGCAGCCCCTGAGGGCAGCCCCTGCCCCTCCGAGGCTGGGGACTATCGCACTCACCAAAGCAGCGGTTTCCGGTTAAAGGGGAACACCCGTCGGAGCGGGATTAGCATTTAAATAAAGCGGGTTACTAATGCACAACCCACCGTTTTCTGGCACTATAAACAGCGTCTGAAAGTAGAGGCAGAAGCGCTCGCCATGTGGCCGTGGCAGGGGAGGGTAGGACGGGGTGCTGGGGGAGGCAGGGCATCCTCTCCGCCCGGTGTACCTACCGCGGATGCCCCGGGACTATGCATACGAGCACACACGCGTTACCTGGGGTGGATATCCACCAGCAAAACCAGAGTCTGCATGGTGATAATGTCTATCCGCTTGCAGTGGAATCGTGCAACTTTCAGCACCTTTAAATAGGTGAAACACAAGATCACCAGTGATAGCATGAAACTGGTCGAGTGAAAGACGATGGTGAACACTGTAAATCTTCTCCGCTCTGTCTCTTCTTTCAGGTGCAAGGTGCAAGAGGCATAAACGCTGCTGTAGTCTACCCACGAGTAAAACAAGGATACCAAGGGGAACGTGAGGGAGTGGAGCCACGAGTAGCCCATCAGTATCACAGCGTCCTTATACCGCATCTTGCTAGTGTAGCTTAAGGGGAATACCACAGCAATCCATTTGTCGATGCTGAGCGCTGCCATGCTTAACATCGTGTTGGAAGTCAGGAAAGTTTCCAGGAAACCCACAGCTTTGCAGACGCAGCCCCCGGGGGGTTGCTGGCTCCTCAGGATCCCTAGCAGGGTAAAAGGCATGTTCAGGACGGTGAGGAGCAGGTTGCAAAAGGATAAGTTCACCAGGAAAACCCCGGCCACCTGCCTGCGGATCTCCGTACTGTAGACGAAGCATAGCAGCACCAGGAGGTTGGAGAGCAGGGAGACAACCAGCACCAGCACGAGGAGCAACGCCAGCAGCACGCCTGCCAAGTCCATCTCTCAGCGGGTCGCCAGGAGCGGGCGAGGGGAGGAGGAAGGGGGCACCCGAGCCGGCACCGCAGCCTCGCCTGCCGCCGCCCGCTGCCGCCCGCGCATGTTGCCGGCGGCTCGGACGGGGGGCAGGGGCCGGGGCAGCGGGGTATAGGGAGGGCAGCAGCGGGCGGGAGGCAGAGCCGAAGGTGCAGAGAGAGGGGCGAGGGGAGCGGTGCTGTCAGAGCGGAGAGGACCCGTGGGGGAGCGGAGTTCCCCGGAGCGGGGTCCAGAGGAGCGGCGTCCGGAGGAGCGGCGTCGAGGCACCCGGCTGCAGGAGCCGGAGGTAAGGGGGAGATAGGGGGACCCGGCAATGGGAGCCGGAGCTAGAGGGGACGGGGCACCCGGAAACCCGGGCTAGCGGGGCCGGCGTGGTGCGGCCCGGAGTCGGGCTGGGTCTGGGGGGAGCCGGGTCGCGGTGCTCGCTGCGCGCTGTCCTCGGTGCTGAAGCGGGCGCTGCTCTGACAGCCGCGCCGCCCTGGCCTCAGGCCGCGGTCCGCCTTGTCCCCGGCGCCTGCACCCGATCCATGTCCCACCGCGGCTGCCCCTCCGCCTCCTTCAGGCAATGAGCATCTTCCCCCGGTGCCCAGCCCCTGAAATACTCGAGCCTCCGAGCCTCCCGCGGCGACTCATGCGCAGACGAGCGGCTGCGAGGCACACGCTCAGCCAGGGATCGCGGATCTGTCTGATCCACTCCTGGACCGCAGGAGAGCGCAACAGGAAGCCCAACTTTCTGCTAATGGGCAGATCAGGATCAGACTTTGCTGGCAGCGAGCTGCTGCTAGTTTAATCCCTGTGTAGGGCTCAGGCACACCCTGAGCACATCGGCTGCTTCCAGCATTCCTGGATCCTGGCAAAAAGCCAGCACCTGTGTCCCCTCTACAACTGAGGGATTACTTGCCCTTTCTCCTCCTTTTATCTCTTAGGGCCTAGAGGAACTATGGTTGCCCACCCCCTGCGTATTAACACTGTTTCCCCACCAGCCAGCAGTGAGAGATGTTGCTTGGAGACTTTGGCCACTTGGACTCCCACTTTTAAAGCCCCAGCTGACTGAACAAGTGCCCACATTAGGGTGATGCTGGCATGCTTTGTGGAAGGCTAAAGTGTCTCTTTTACCATTCTCCATTTACATTGTTAACATGACAGTGTGATGACAAGAAAAGTTCCTTTAGTTATCACATTGTGGCAAAGGCTGAAAAGACAGAAATGAAAGAGTCCAGAAATTCTCCCTCAGCATTTGTAAAGAAAGTGGATTACACAGCTAATTCCAAAACCCATCATAAATCTTTGCCTTTGATTAAAAATAAAAGAAAAAGAAAAAAAGAGGGAGTAAGTTTTGGTCCATCAAAACACTGGTACAGAAGAAAGCTGCCATGTCTAATCACTATCACATTTTACAGTTGATCGCCAGAACTGACATGAAGAAAAAGGAGAAGAAAAGGTAGCTTTCCCACTATCCAAAATGATTATTAATATCCTAAGGAAATGCTGTATTGTATGTCTTGTCCCCACAATGTAACCTTGTCACGCAAGTGTTACCACTGTGTGAATAACTGCACAGAAAACTGCTTGAAAGAGCCTGAAGGCAGTGTTTGTATTTTGTTTTTGTTTTCCAATAGCAGTTACAAGTTTTGGATCAGGCCCTAATTGAAAAGCTTGTTATGGTAAGTTTTGTGTCTTAAGGAAAGACCAAAGCAGCAAGACACGAGATGTGTTATTTGGAAGAGAACCAGTACTGTATTATTCCTCAGATGGAAAGAAAATTAAGGATTTCTTTGATCAGAAAGCTGTTGTTTCCAAAGTTATAAAGGAGCAGATACAGTCGGCACTGCTTATGCTTGATGAACAAAAATCGAATATGTATCTGTGTAAGCATTTAAGAAAAAAAAATAGTCTATAACAGCCTGACAATACCAGTTCTCTTTGAGTTCAGCTGTTGTATTTATATCATCAGGGAATCAACACTGCAGAGCCAGACACTGCACAGAGGGTTGGGAAGAACTGAGTTGTCATGGGAGAAGCTGTCTGTGTCAATGTGGAGCAGAGGTTCTGCAATTACTCCTTCTCTCACATCAGCAATTCTTAAGGTTCCTATTAGTCAGAACCCATCTATGGCTTACCTTTCATTTAATAGTACCACAAGGTTATGGAGCTTTTATGATAGCCTTCTGGGATTAGAGGCTGTCTGTGTAATGATGTCAGGTGGGATAGACGCTATTTTATAGCATCACAAAGGCAACCTAGATGTGCTGTTCTCTTACTGTGATAGCTACTTGAGAAACTATTTCCGGTTGCATGTAGACAGAGGGCACATACACACATAATTTGTCTTGTACAGTCTTTTCAAGTGAAGAATGAATTGTTTCTGAAAGCTAATGGAGAAAGAGCACATCAAAATAAGACAAGGGTAAAAAAAAATTGACAAGTGGCAGAATGCCGTGAAAGGAATTACACTGCTTTTCCACATGTACAGTGAATTGTATGTTCCTCTGCAACAATATGCAGGGCTCAAAGAACTCAGCAGGGATGACAATGTTAGATTTTCCCATTTGTTTTCAGTGAACCATTGCTAAGGTGATAAGCTAAGCATATACATAACTTCCTGTGGGATGCAGGTCTTCTGCTGATCCTTTCCCATTTACAGGCAGCAACCCACAACACTTCATACTGGCCACCTTTCAGTCTGATGTTCGAATGCCCATTTACAGCTTATAGGCTGAAAATAGTCACTTATGTGAGACTGGAAGCCTTGAACTTGCCACTGTGGGTTTGCAAAAGTAGGTATCTTCCACCTTATACCCTGAAAACACACGTACTCCTGCTACCTTTCGCATGTAAGCAGACAGCCATAAATCACTGCAAATAACTCATTAAACACACATACTTTTCCCCATCAAGATCTTACAGTGTTTACTTTCATAATCAAGGATGCTGTCTTGATTGAAACTGGGGACTGTGGAGACTGCTGCATTACAAATAAGAAAAGGGAAAAAAAAGAGTCGCTTGTCATTAATTATCCTTTAATAGACACAGACTATTAGTTAACACAGATTAGGTAAGTACTTGAGACTCTTATTCTAAGATCTGCATCATTCATTAAATCTACACATTCATCTGTTCTAAATATTGACTGAAACTTATTGGGTTTAATGGTTAATGGACTGTATTCTTTGGAAAGGAATAGGGGATAATTCAAATTCCCTTTTAGTTTCACTCCAGGAGAGATGTGTCATGCAAATTACAATGTAGGTCACAACTGAGCATAATTCATCCCTAATCAATGTATTCTGCAATGACTAGAAAAAACATTTAATTTGGTTCTAATTTTAAGAAAGCACTATGAAAGAAGGAGATCTCAAACAAATTATATCAAATAATTTGTAAGTACAGAGAAAAGCAACCCTTTCCCCCAGATTTTCGCATGATAGGTGAAGAGAGGGAAATTAAGCTTTATTAACCAATATGGGGGGAAATGGAATGACTCATAGAACTGATGTTAAAAACAAAGCTTTTAACTTCTAGGCCACTTGCTAAAAAGGGACCTATTTCAAAACTGAGCAAGAATGATAATATCCATGAGAATTTTCAGTGTGCTCTGTAAGCAGCTCTGGTAATCGTAGTTCCCAACAACCAATGGAAATATCTTCTCACCACTACAATCACAGCGGGTATGTTGCTGCTGCATTAGTTTTAGTTAATGAAGCTTTAGCGAAGTTAGAGCCCTTGAGTCCATTAAGGCTCCACAGCAATTTGTTTTCTTTTTTAATCACTTCATTTATTTTTTTTTTCCCTCTTTCTTTTCAGAGTCCTGCCTTATGATTTGAACTCTAGGGTCTTTGAGCAAGCAGGACATCCTTACCTGCCATACAAATACAGCTTTTATTCTTCCTGGATCTTTAAGACAAATAAGCAAGCAGATAGTAGTAATGTGATAACTAACACGCTGTTAGCCTCTTCAGAAAAGATGCAAGGCCTGCCTTAGTCTAATACAATTCTGCAACACTGTTCCTATGGCAGAATTCCAATGGGCACATTTACCACCTGTGGAATAGCTTTGTCATAAAGATCTTCCTAAAATGGAGTAAAGCCAAACTGAAAGGTCTACACATTCCTCCTGTAGACCTTCAATTTGCAGGGGAAAAAAATGGAGTAGTAAAAAGCATGTGTTTTTTTTCAGAACTACAACTGCATAACTACATAACTTCCTGAGAAGGGAGAAAAGAGATATAAAGTTCAACCATGCAACAGTTCTGCAGATTTAAATTACTTCAAATTGCTTAAATATTGTTATAAGGATCCTCATAATTCAACAGAAACTTGAAATTGTATAATAAAACTTGCAAAACTCTTTTGGCTTGTATTTGTGTATGCAAACTACACATATTCCTACAGTCTACGAAAACTGATCTCAGAGTAATTCTAGAAGTAATATATGATTTTGGAGGATGGAGCTAAGGTTTGAAGAAACAGGTAAAACCACCACAAAAATAGCTGGTGAGACCACTTTTTGAATCTTGTGTTCAGTTTTGGACCCCTCACTGCAAGGCAGTCAATGAGGTGCTGGAGTGTGTCCAAAGAAGAGCAAGAAAGAATTGTCTAGAAAACAAGTCTCATGAAGAGTAGCTGAGGGAACTGGGATTGTTCAGGCTGGAGATAAGGAGGTTCAGGGGGGACGTTATTGATATCTACAACTACTTGAAAAAAAGTTGTATTGAGGTGGTGTTGGTCTCTTCTCCCAGGTAACAAGTGATAGGACAAGAAGAAATGGCCTCAAGCTGTGCCAAGGAAGGTTTTGATTAGATATTAAGGAAAATTTCTTCACTGAAAAGGTTATCAAGCATTGGAACAGGTTGCCCAGGGAAGTTATAGAATCCCCATCCTTGGAGGTATTTAAAAGATGTGTAGATGTGGCACTTAGGGACATGGTTTAGTGGTGAACTTGGCAGTGCTGGGTTAACCGCTGGACTCAATGACCTTAAGGATCTTTTCCAACCTAAATTATTCTCTTATTCTCTTATTCTGTTTCTGATATTTCCTAATGGAAATGGAAATGCACAAATACTGGAGTATGAAAGGAAAAGAGCAAAATACTCACAATTCAAAACAGTTTCAGCTGTGATACAATTCTGAAAATGGATATGTATAAATATGTGTCACTGCTTCCTCTTTCTCCCACTAGTTCATTTTGTCTTCAGACAGAAATACTGTTTCC